GATTCACTTAATTTTATTAGCACCTTGATTTCATTTAACACTTGTTTACATTCACACTCTACCTTCCGATCGTATATATGTATATTAGTCCACAATGACTAACAAAACTTAAATTTATTGTTCACTTCCACATGTGAACAACAGCACACAATTTTAATTCGCACACTATTTTGCGAATGAATATGTATATTAGTCAACACAATGACTCACCCTCCTTGATAAAGACTTATTGTTCACCCACTAGTGAACAACATCACACTTTTAATTCGCAGTTTGCGAACGTATACGTATACTTGTCAATACAATGACACACACAACTTATAGTTCACCTTCACATGTGAACATCACACTAGTTTCAACGAAACTTAAAACCTTATTGTTCACTTTAACTTGTGAACCACATCACACTAACTGCACAGTTTTCCGGAACTCAGGATCCGGCTCGAAGGACCATGTTAAATTTCACAGGCAGATATTCGGGAACTTACTATTGTAAGTGGAATATCAGCACACGCGTTAAATTAATAAGGCGTGTTGTTTAATTCTTTGGTGGAAGGTAGAAAAAAATATAACTCTTGCAGCGAAGTCAACTTAATTATATATTTACAATATTTACAGAGTATCTCCAACGATTGATTACTATGATTACACAAGTGCAAGTCTTGGTTCAAGTGCTTGTCACTTCTTATATCTACAACTTAAAAACTAGGAGGAAAACACCAAGGGTGTGGCTAGTATCACCATTGGTGATTAACCCTTTCAAAACAATTCGGTGTAAATTTAGAAGGCGGGCTTTCAACTTAAAATTTTGGAAAGAGGGAAGTTTATAATCTGAGAAAAGATCGGCACATCAAGAAGTCAACAAACGGTACTTTTAACCGTTAGGCTCATAAAAAAACACCCTATAATACTTGAAACTAAATTGGAATCGTAAAGGATCCTTCTTCAACCGTTACCTCTATAAACCAATTTAAACATTGTACCGATGCATCTAAGGGTCTACTACCAAATAAACACCATACCGCCTTGTAAATTTGCAAACATTCTAAAAATTGTATGCAGGAGTTTTATGGCCTGCAAAACGAAGAACGGTCTCTGAACAAATATATACTTATAGAAAGTTTAGAGCGCCTACATACAAGATTTTACAGCATTGGTTAAAACTTGTTTCACTTTTTTACAAAAATCAGACGTGTGGCATGCGCCAACAACTATCACTTCTGCTCTTTTCTAAAAACAGCTGAAGATTGCGATTTACTTACGGATATACTTCTAGTAAATGTCCAGTAACTAACTAACTAACACAAAATGAAGAAAAGTTATCAGCAAAACAATTATTAAAAATTAAATCCCCTAATCTAGGTTACTTTACGTTAAAAAAAATTATAGAAACAATAAATTATATCAACGAGACAATTTTTTTGTCGATAACTAATTTGGCGAAGCAGCACATTAAAGCGCACCACCAGTACAACACTTTTTTTTATTTTATCAATAATGGCATTTTTGAAAATGGTTTTAACGTGGTGCAAATTTTCCGTCAACGTACATGTACGCCACGATATTTCCTTAATTTCGTATTGGCTTTACTTTCACCAAATGGTATGTGCCACTCCTTCGTAATATTCTTCGAGTTAACCTCTCAAATTAGTTCTTTCAATAATAAAACTGATAACATAATAAAAGACTTATTGTGCCTTATCAGTTCCCCGTCGGTAATAGCAATGCAGACATTGAATACATTCTTCAATAAATAAAAGTAAAAACATTGGAGATCAACGGGCTTCAAACCGTGGGAAATATGTCATCAAGACTTCGTAAACTAAAAGAAGAAAGTTATGTCTGCGTTTAGGCTTTAACTTAATTTAAGATGCAAAATTGTCCCCACATATTTACTAACAATGTCGACCATCAGGGAAATATAGAAAAGTATCAGAAAGTATCAAAAACACAAAATCCTTAGCGCGCGAGTCAATGTCGCAGTCATGAAAGGTATATAAGGTAGCTGTTTTCCGTCAAATCAAAAATATGTAGGTACCTGCTGTATTTCAATATTACCTTTTCAAAGTAATACAACAGCAAATATAATACTTGCTTAGATTACGATCAGCTTCCAAAATTCCTTGTAAGAAGTGACGCGTGACGAGCGCGACACGCCGCGCCGCATCGCTCCGGGCGGCCTGTTTCGCACTGGTGCTCATCTCGATCAGTGAGTGTTGTCACGAAAACAAAAGTAAAAATGTCAACAAGAATTGGCCATCACATGAGCGTGAAAGTTGCTCATTGAATTCGTACAATAATAAGATGTGGAAGTGGACAATCGTTTTTGAAGCCGGGCTACATACACGTACGTCGCAAAACACACTCACTGTGGAATTATAAATCATACACGTATTCGTGCTACGACTTTTCCTCATCCAAGGGTCTTTCACCTTGTGCAGAAAATGCACCTGTAATGCGTGTATGAGCATTCGTGAATGTTTAATGACAGTGAGTACGTATTTGAGATACGGAAGCCTGTGGCATTCACAAGAAAATAAGACAGTATGCATTCTAAACACATTTTTTTCTTGTATTTTGTAACAGCAACGTGAACAACTGTAGGTAGGTCCACTTAGGATGCAAAAACTCCGCGTGGGAATTTTTCCTGGAAAATTTGAAGGAAAACTACTTTCAGTCACATAGGCACCCAGACCATACGTCATTGTACCTTACCATTAGAAAGTCAATTAGTTTCGGTCAACTATTATTTTTACACTGTGTCTAATCTAGCATAATGATATACATAATTCGAAATCTGTCAGGTGTTCTACTACATAATTGAAGTCTGGAGGAACAAATTTATCTTAAAAATGCTATATTTTAAGCATGTAGGGGAAGATAATGGCAGATATTCATTATTTTTGTGGAACGAACATTATGAAAACCAGAATGTTTAGTATTCCATTTAAGAAAGAACACGTTTTATGAGGCTGATGATAGTCCCTCACTTGTGTTACTTGCTGTTGCTATGAAAATTGAAAAATTTGGGAAAAACTGAAAATGCTTTTTTTCTATGGGAGTTTTGTATGAATTCAAGACTATAATTTACGAGTCGAATGATGAATACGTGTAAATCTTTATTTCGTTATGGTTAAGTATTCAGGAAAAAAAAATCGGAATGATGATTACAAGGGAAATTCGGAACATACAGACCGATTTAATTCTTGTTTTTTTTTATTTTGTTCGCTATGGTTCTGTAAGTTTTCAGGGGAAAATTAGGGATGATCACAAAGGAAAGTTGGAAAATTCGGGATAAACGTCAGGTAGATTTAATTGATTCTGATTATCACCACATATACTTCAGTACATTCTGCATTGAATTTATTTGATTGATTGATTTCGAAAACAAGTTACCTTTTTCAACGGCAGACTCTGTTGCGCTTTAAGTTTTCTTTGAGGTTTATCCAGGGAAATTTTTGTCGTGGCACGTCCAGGGATATTCCTTTGCAATTTCGCGACATTATAGGTTTGTCGCCAACCGAACAGTTGCACTATTTTTTCCGACACGTCTGCACATTTGGGTCCTGTGGCAGCACGCTGACACGAGTCAAACATTGCACATGTTTTAAATTACACAGACCTATCACACTCCTATTATGTTACCGTACAAAATACGTAACAGTTCAACGTCCAACTTGCTGTAAATAAATAAATAAGTAAATGCAGTAGTTGTTGTTTATAGATTGAAAAATCGCGAGGGTCAAACGATCTGTCGGACTGGCACATGCAGAGTCCTTAGAATAAAACAAGTGAGCAAACGTTGATTATGTTAATTGCTCATCCTTGTTGTCGACGACTTTCTAACTAACGATAAGTCGTGTTTGTTTCACTCCAGATAGAAATCGAATTCGACACCTCAATTAACACCGTCCAAGAAAGATAAAAGGCATGAACGTGTATCTTATTACACCTGTGAGGTTTATTTTCGTGACGATTTTCCTTTCTATTTACTCAACGTTAAAAACAATTAATCGCTCCAAGATGTCCACAGGGAGGAGGGCTAATAATGGTCACGGAATATCACTTATTGCTTATTTTGTAAATAATAAATTACATTAATTAACATATAAGACCTAAAATTAGAAACCGAAGCTACCGACCCATGTTAATTTTGTCAAAATTATTAAAGGAATGTTAAAGGAGATTCTGCAGAAAAGCGCATATAAAATTTTTCACGAAATCCTTGGGGTAAAAAGAGTGTGTACACTATGTGTGCCGCACGATCTCAAAACTGAACAAAAGGAAGCTACAGTGAACTGACATAAAAAACAGTTGAAAATGTATGAAAATGGTACATCAGTAATATTGGTACTGGTAGCAAAATCTGACTATATTATTTTGACGTACTTTCAAAAAACAAGATTCAGGAAATTCGACCAAATTCGAGTATTTTCATCACGATAAGGCGATAAGTGGTGTTTTGATACTTGAACATCCTTCACATAGCCCACAACTAGGGGGCTTTTATTCCTTAGAATCATTACAAGAATCAGTTGAAAGGGAGGATGTTTCAAACAGATACTAAGAATTTAGCTGCTTGGGATTAAGCCTGCTCAGATCTCCCAGAAGAAAAGTGAAAGGATTTTTTTTGATTATTGGTTTTTACGCATGATTATAATATAAGTGCCCAAACTGTGATGGATATAATTTTGAAAAAGTGTAAAAATGAAATCTGTATTGCAAAACTTATCAGCCACTAGATGCGCTTAGCGTTTTTCGGGGTGGTCTAAATCAATCAAAAAAATATTTAGATAATTTAATTGAAAATGTTGATATTACGTTCAGTTATTTTTTTTATAGACACCGAGACAGCAGTGACAATAAATAATATGGAAATAATAAAAGACTGTTATTTAAAAGTAACCCATGGCTAATTGATACGTAGAGAAATACAGAAATACAAAAGATATTGTGAAAGTTTCTCATTAGAGGACTGAAGATTAGAATTAAATTATTTAATTACAGTCATTTCAGTACCTAGGTACTTTTATGAGTTATCGTAAACTAAGCAAAACCTTCAAAAATTTTATGTTTTAAATTAAATTTTTGTTACCTGCATTGTGCACTTCACTGATTCACACGGTACTAAATGTGAGCAAATATTCATTGTAATTGTAGTTTAAATGGTAGCTCAAAAGAATTTTGGGATTTACCAAATATATCTTCTTACGAAATTACCCCTCTAACCGGTTTTATTTCTCGAGGGAGAGGGTAAATGGTCAAATAATATAGGTATGAATCGTATATGCAAGGGCATCCTCTAGAAAAAGTGGTTTTAAATAATACACTTATTAGTTGGAAATAAATATTAACTTACGTTAATTAAATGAAAAAAGAGAGACTTGCCCCCAACTTACCATAACATATTCAGCAAATTTGGGTAAGTTAGGGTGCCTTTCTTTTCATTTATCACCACTTTAATTTTCTATTGATTATTTTGTTAAATTAATTATTATTCCTATTATTATATGTCTAGGATTATTTTAAATCAAAAACGGTTATCAGACTTCCGATTATTTTTGAAATTAAAATACATCTGAAAAAATAGAATGAGTTACGGGAATACTTTTTTTTAGGCCTATCTATTAATCGTTATTTTTTTTCATTTGATATGCCGGTAACTTTGGTTGAAGGAAGTGATTGTTACTTGGTTTATTTCACCCTAAAGCATACCTGTGTTTAATAAAAAATTAAAAAGTCATTATTTATGTATAAAAATGCATACCGAATATAAAACGGCATTTTTACAAAAAAAAAAACACTTAACCAATAGCCTTCAGAAGAAACACTTAAATTATCCCACCGTAGCGCCTTTAAACTAATCATTAAGGTTAATTACATTTTTTCATGGCCTGTTAATTGTACCGTAACATGGTTAATTTAAAAACAACCGAATGCACCGATAGGCATACGATGTTTTCTTATCGATCCACTTACTAATGTTACACTTTATTAAAAAAAAGTTAGCAAACCCTTGCTTTTGGCCATTTGTTTATTTAGAGGAAAGAATAAAGTTGCAAAACTGGACATTCCCGATGCTCCGCTACGCAAGAGCCTCGCTGGATGATTTTACTCAAAATATCCCTGTAGTGTCACTTATATTTTTTGCTTATATACATACTTGCATCTTCCATTCGATACCATCCACGCTATACATATACTCAAAGAAGTCGAACTTTTTCGTAAAATATTTCACGAAAATGCAGGTATTACTATGACATGTGCTTTAGTCAGAACGCTTGAGCCGTGTAACCGATCATCCCGCACACCTTTTTTAATAAACCGACTCCTTTAATTTGATTACTTCCGAATTGCTAATAACTGTCTTATAAGTTTTCATAAAAAGAAAATTGTTTCAATTTCACAAAACATTTTACTCATTGTTGTTTATGTTATGTTTGAATTGGAGTATCTACTTATAATTCCTACACGGTGTGTCACTTATGATAACAGAGATATAAGTGATACAATTCATTATCATTAAAGATCCAGTTAATGAATTGGTGTCCTTCAAATTCTCTCACGTATCGCATTGCGCTCTTTACTTGCCTTTCACGTATATTAATTATGAGAAGCACGCAATCACCTTTTATTAACAACTCAACAAAGATTCATCTCTAAACACTTAATGTTTTGTAATTACATGTCATTCTCATTGTCCTAGTAAGGTTGGAAAAATTATTTCAAAACTTATGTCAACTTTTATGACTCCTTGATGTAATACTGAATATACATAGGTCAATGTGGGAGATCCATTAAAAAACGTTTTTCCAAACACATTTATCTATCACCTAGAGGAAACCAAAATTATAAAAGTTGCTTGTAAAAATATTAAGTCGCTATTAATTACGATAATTAGAAATTGAAAGTTTGTAACAAAACGCCTCTCCTCCCAGAACATAATTAAATATAAACATTGCAATGCAGTTTTAAACTACTAAGGCAGTACTAAATTTTTTTAAAACTATTTTAGTGCTTAATTGTAGTTTTACTGCGTTATAAAATGTTTATTAAAGTTATATATTACACCACATTTTTATCACCAATATCTCAGGTACTCGGTTGAATCTAGTTCCTATAACAAGTTGGACATTAATGGTAAAAGACCCATAGGAGATTTCTTTCAGGTACATAGGTATTATTATTAGGCTTACTACTTCTACCAATGCAATAATATTTTTCCTTACTTAATGCACGTTATCGACTGTATATGCGTAAGAATATTCTTATTTTATGCAAACACAGCTAGTGGTTACATACGGTACGTTCTTTTTTCAACGGTGCATTCCAATTGTAGCAAAGCCGGTTTCAGGATAGCGTCCTACAAGAGGAATTCCTTCAAGACAGTTATCGTGACTAAAATACCTCATTTTTATGCAAATTCATGTTTGCCGTTTCAAGGAAGAATTGAAGCTACGCAAAAAATGGTAGCATTAAAAAGAATCGCAATTATTTTTTTTTTTCAGAAATTTCATCGTTTCTATTTTTGTTACATTCGTATATCAAATTTCATTTTCATCATTGTAGGGTCGTTTCCTACGACTGATTGGACACCTCCACTCTGTCCTATCCTAAGCTAATCTTCGCATTTCCCTTAAACTAGAACATCCCACATAATAGGTGTAAAAATGAGACGATGAGAATTATTATGAAAAGAATGTAATACATTTTTTATCGTTGTTTCACCCAAACTCAAAAATAGTACTTAGAAACGTAGCAAAAGGTAAAAGAATGAATTTTGCTCGATATTGCGGGTAATGTGAATAACAAAGTTCAAGGTACTCGTCAATCATAATTAAGGTCGCAATCATGAGTTAGGTGATTGCCTTGTCCAGACATGTACTATTTGTTTTAGGTATTTGATAAACCGAAAAATCGATTTAGTAAATAGATAACAATTACAGTATCAAATACGTTGACATTGATTTAGTGTCATATATTAAAAAGAAAACTCCAAAAGTGGGTGCAAAAAAATATTAGTTTCTACAAAAAAAAAACGCATAAGTACTTTCAGGAAGAATTGATTCTAATATTTATTCAAAAGTATTGATAAGATGTAAGCAAAGCTGAAAATAGTTGACGATGAATGCTAGTCAGTTAAAGTATGTAATTTGACTGGTACCGTATGGTATAATTCTTTGAATTATTCATGATATTGTCTAAGAAATGATTCGATCGAATTGAACAAATTTATTTCATTATGTTTGTTTCAGGGACCTTTCATTTTTATTTTCATTCAAAGGAAGAGATTCCTTTTTCGCTTTCAAAATAACAATTCCGTACATATAATAATGAAAGTTTAATTTTCACTAGTTTATCCCAACATAGTGTAGCTAGTGTGATGGTAATAATTTTTCAATATCTGATTAATGTGTATTTATTAATTTCTGATCAATTAATGTTCAGGATAAATAATCGCAGTGCAATCAATCGCAACAAAAAGCACTTCCTATTATTAGAATGGTGCATGTTTATTTAAATTTATAATGCAAACTATCGTATTTAGTTTTGTACCTGTTCCGCAATATTCTGCATACTTATTACGGTAATTATAAACTCGCCTTACAATTACATGAAAATAGTAACCGCATTTTGTTTGCATGTGTTATGTAGCCAATACTCATACTGAAACGGATGG